ATTCGGAATGAAAACACATGTAGAATTTGGGTTTAATAAACATCTTTTTAGCCAATTTATTAATTTATTATCTCTCTCTTGCGCACTCTCGCGTGTGGCTGTGTGCATTCGCGTCTCTCTCTCTCTCTCTCTCTCTCTCTCTCTCTCTCTATCTCTCTCTCTCTCTCTCTCTCTCTCTCTCTCTCTCTCTCTCTCTCTGTGTGTGCGCGTAGTTGTGTAGTCTCTCTCTTTCAGTGCGCGAGGAAGCGCCAGAGAGTCGCGGGCGGAGCGGAAGGGACTCTGCGGGATTTGAGCGCTGATCTCCGGCAGCAGATCTCTCTGTGATCGCGCTTCTGCTGCTGGAAACACCGGAGCACCGGTCACCACTCACCGGGAGTTACGGGAGAGAAGCGCGGGATGGTGGACAACAACAAAACACAGATGGTGAGGAGCAACTTGAGTACTGCAGATGCGCTCATGTTCAGCGGTAAACACGAGTGGAAATCAGGGTATAGCCCGGTGTGTGTAGGCTATGTGTGTGTGTTTATTGAACCATGCTGCAAAGAAGTAGCCAAAATTAGACTATTTTCTGCATGTTTGTCATGTTTTTTAGTCAAAACATTATATTTATGTTATATATTTGCGTCAATTCGTTTTTAAAATTTCGATTTAATTCAGAAATAATCGTATTTTTGCTAACATACGAATTTAAATAATGAATACAGCTCATAAAGAAGAATAAAATTAAACTCTAAAAACTTTATGCGTTAATATTCAGCTGTAAACATAAGTGTAAATCAGAATACAGTATGTCTGTGTTCGCGTCTGTGTGTGTGTTTACGTGTCTATTGAACTATGCTGCATAAAGCAGGTAATTGTCATCACGTTTATTTATTATTGTCAAGCATATTTAATCAAAACATTTGCTTTTTTAGTTTTCTTTTTAGCTTTTAAATGTCAATTGAATTTGAAATAAAAGTTTTTTAAATATCCTACAAAATAAAATAAACTGATTATAAAGATAATAAATAAAAACTCTAAAAACGCAGGGTAATTCCAGCCTAATTTAGGACAAATATTTTTTTGGATCAAGCTAAACATTGTGTTAAATGTGACCCTATAAATGTAATTTAAATATATATGGCTGTGAATTTCAATATTTAGCTTAAAATTGTATTAAAATAACCCAGGATTTTTAGAGCAAACTTTAGTTTTTCGTTCTTTTCATGAATGTAAATGTAGCTATAATGCATATTTTGGTCGAAAAGTATAATAATAATAATAATCAGATGTGTTTCTTTGAAATAAAAACTCCAGAGATATTCGTAATGCTGAATAAAAACATGTGTTAGTTTCTTTCATCATTGATTTCAGATGTATCAAATTCAACCACTCTGAGAAAACATTTATTTGTGTCTTGTTTTCAATTATAAATATTAAGAATACAAATTATTTATGTCAGAATGTTTTGACGAAACAATAATAATACTGCAATCAATTAGTAACATGCAATAAAATACAATCATGTAAGTATAAATGTATACAATGCAAAATTGTTTTAAAAGAATCTTTTAATTAATCTAAAAACATCAAAACAAAAACAACAATTATTATGAATGTTCAAACGAATGTTTCAGTGAATTCATAAAGTAAATATTTTTCTTAATAATGTAAATTTGGCAGATTTTTACAAATTTTAATATAAAAATGTCAATAATGAATGTATGTATCGTATAAATGTCAATATTTGAGTTTGTTTCTTTCACAGTGCTTTATTTAATTTGTTGTTTTTCGATTGAACTGTTCAGCAAAGAAGCATTCACTGTAAAAAGCAATTTTAAAGGGAAAAAAAACATAAAAATGAAGCTGAAATGCATGTTTTGGTGTTGAAAATAATAATCAGATGCCTTTTTTTATAAACAAACAAGATATTTCAGCATTAAAAGTAAAGCTATTCGTATCCTGTTTGTTTGCATTAAAGCTGAAATGCAAATGAACATAAAATATCAGTCATTTAATCTAATAAAAATCAGCATTAACAAAATAAAAATGCAGAGGATCAATCAGCAATGCTTCACAATAAGAGTGTATTAGTTAATGCACAAGCAACACATTTAATACAGTGTTCATCTCTGTTAGCGTTAGTTAATAAGAATACAGCCGTTCATTCTTAGTTCATGTTATTGCATTAAATAATGCATTAGTAAATGTTGAACTAGGATTGATTAACACTGTATTTTCCATTGCTACTTCATATTATAAATGAATCAATGAAACCTTATTTGAAAGTGTGAGCAGTAAGTCAACATTTCACACTGTAAATGATAATTGAGTGAATGTGTGGCTTTTAAGCTGTTTAGAGAAATAGCTCTGCTTTATTTAGGTAACACTTTAGATGCATCACAATTGACTTATCGACTGCCAATTATTAAAATGTGAACTGTTTATTAGCACTTATGATCTTATTTTACACCCCAAATCCTAACACCTAAGCCTACCTTAATAACGACACTATAAGTTTTCCATATTTTGTGATCCGGGTTTTTATTTTTCTCGTTTATTTCTGCTTTTAAGTTGCATTATGGGATCTTGATCTTTCTCCCAGCAACTTTTAACCTTGAAAAGTTGTAAAAAGTGGCTCTATTGTCTGTGTTGGTGTTGTATATTACACTCTAAAACACATGGGGTTATTTTATCTACCCAAATCTTGGGTTGAGGCATTTGGGTAATTTTTGGGGGGTTA